TGATCCTCCTGTTTTCAGCCTCCCAAGCACTGGTATTACAGGCAAATGCCACCACACCCAGTCTAACAAGATGTCTTATCAGAAAAAGGCATTTTGGAGGCATAGTCTAGGGGTTGTTGAGGGCCTTGTCAGATTTACCCTTAAGCAACTGACAGCTAAAGAAACAAGAACACAGATTGTCATACAGTTTTTTACTCTTTGGTAGAAAGATACAATCGTTTTTATTCAGGAGGAACTTTTTGCAGAATTACCATAAATATATCTACATATATGGACTCCAAAATGTGATAGCAATTTAGAAAGCAATGCCTTGTATTAGGTCCTTTCAGCCACTTGTACCACAAAATAACAAAATACCACAGACCATGTGATTTTATAAGCAAAAAAAAAAAAAAAAAACCAACAGAGTTCTGGCATCAGCCCACAGGAATGTAGGACTCAATATTGTCAGGCATTATATAACCACAGCACAGGAAAAGTCACATCAATCTTACTTCACAGCTTGGAGTGTCCAAAACTGATTGTTCGGTGACAGCTGTTCTCCATTTCAAGGATGTAGTCTGGTTGCCACATGCTGAGAGTGGGTAAACACTGTCACTTCACACGATACAACAGAAAGAAAGGCAAGAGGATGCTCCAGCTGTGACCCTTTCATGCAGGTGTTGATGTTCTCTAAAGGTTACACCTCCTAATACTGCCACATTAAGGATTAAGTTTCAGCATGACTTTTGGAAGGAACACCATCATTCAAACCTCTTTGTAATCTCTCTGCTATCATTGCTCTCTTTTGTTCTCTTTACTACTCTCATGCTGTCCAGCCACAAGGCCTTCCTTGGTACCCCTGAAACACATGTCAGCTTCTCAGCTATTCTCTCTGTATGAAACTATCAGGCTCCAGATCTCTAGATATACTTTTCACTTCCTGTAGTGCCTTCTCTCAAGTCTGCCTTCAGCATTTTCTAACCTGTTCATTCCGACTTTTTAAATAGCAGTCTTGTTATATTTTAAATAAATATATAATTAATTGCCTGTCTACTGCCCCCTAGAAGTTTCATAAAAGTAGAGACCTTAGGGCTGGGTAGATGGCTCAGTGGAATAAGCGCTTCCCTGACAAGTACAAGGACCTGAGTTCAATCCCCAGTTCCGCAAAAAAAAAAAAAAAAAAAAAAAATGTGGGGCAGTGACCTTTAAAAAAAACAAAAAACAAAACAAAACAAAACAAAACAAAACAAAAGTAGAGACCTTGTCTAATTCCCACTGTAATCTTCCAACACCCAAAACAGTGCTTGTCCTGTAACAGACACTCAAGAAATACTTTTTTTATTTTTTTGGATGAATGAATCCAACTGATGTTATGTTCATTAATTTTATTAAGTTTTTTTTTTTTTAAATAGGCTTTAAAAGGGATAAAGAGCTAACAACTATTCTAAAGCAATTCAAACCTGTGTTGTGACTATCATGAAGAAATTTTAGGGGAGATCTGGGTATTGCACATATGGCTCACTCATTGTGCGCTGGAGTCCCCGTGTGCTTTCTTTCAATCGTTCTACTTGTGTTATCGTACTACTTGTGTTATGTAAGTTTAAGATAATCAACCAACACAATCCCTGATTACTAAACAAAATACTAAGCTTCTATTCAGAGAATACATTGATGCCTACCGCAGCTCTTTTCCGTTAATCATCAACAAAAGAAACATGTTTTAAATATGGAGACTGAGTTGGCCCATGAGGGAACAAGACCTCAGGTTCACTGCTAAGCAGGAACAACAGTTCCTTTCCTATCCTTTTACAAAAGTCTCTAATTTTCATATGATTTAACCTCACCATAATTCTAGCGCATAAAGAAAAAAGCTACAGTCACAGAAGTCACATAACTAGGCACCAGAGTCAGAATCTGAACCTTAACCTAATTCCAAGGACAACCAATAGCCATTCTCACTGGCACGTAGCAGTCAGCTGGCAGCATCACAGTGGTTACAGACAGACTCTGGAAAAAGTCCATGAGAATGTAAGACTGAGCACTGCCAGCTGTTATGTAACTGCCACCCAGAAAAAAAGTCATGTCACTCTTACTTCGTAGGATAATTTAACTTACCAAAAATGTTACATTTCAAGAGTATAAAACTTTCTGCCCTTCTTACAAAGAAAATGTTCTTCTTGCTGAAACATTTTACTCTGCCTTGAATTCATGCTCTCAAAATAAAACTACTAAAATAACAGGGCATGGCTCACCTGAGGAAACCTCAAGACTATTTAATTTTTTTCAGTACCCACTGCAGATGCATGCAAACCATTTTTGAAAGATGTAACTGATGCAACACCAAGTGTCACTCTTTAGAATCTAATTCTAATGCCAAGGTCTTATATCCAAATTTAAATATCCTACAATGCTTTATATTATGGAATATAAAACACTATTCATATTAACATGAAATTTTAAAATAAACCATGCTCTTAATTCTAGCCTTGGTCAAAGGATTTGGACAATGAACAAAAAACTTCTAGAAGCCAACAGGCAGATCTATTGTTATGCTTTCCCTGCCCTAACAATAGCTGTATCTCAGACAGGAGCAGCTCCTTCAGTTGGGATCGTGAAATTGGAAAGACAGAGCACAGCCATGGCAATTAAAAGTTGAATGGTTGAGATTAGAACCAAGTGTGGTGGAACACAACTAAATGCCTGTAATCCCAGCCCTGGAGGCTAAAGCAGGAGGAAGGCAAGTTTGAGACCAACCAACCTAGGCAACTTGTGGAGACTTTGTCTCATAATAAAACGTAAGAAGATCTAAAGATGTAGCTTAGTGCAAAGACCCTGAGTTTAATATCCAGTAAATGGGGGAGGGGGCCTAAAGAATTCAGGTAAAACTCCAACTAAAAGTGAACAGGAAATATCTATTACAAGTTCTGCAGGTTCCATTTCAGCTGGGCATGGTAACACACACTATAGTACCAACTAACTAGAAAGCTGAGGCAGGAAGATACCAAGCCTGGCCATCTAAGTGAGAACCTGTCTCATAACAAAAGGTTTAGGGATATAGCTGAGTGATAAGCACATTTAAGTTTAATTACCTGTACCACTGAAAAAAAGTTATAAGTCCTACCCTCTAACACCAAACTAAATCTTGGTCTTCAGACAAATTTAGCATTTTTTTTTTCTGCCTTCCTGGACTTTTGGCGAGAATTCTCTGCACCAACAGCATTATCACAAGATAATCAGAGAATAAACACACACATTGTCCCTGTAATATTGATCCAAATTTAACAAATTCAAATATAAAAACAAAGAAAATGTGGTACACAGAAATATACATGGCTATGAACATTTTTATGACACAAGCTTTAAAGTTTGTCTTTATCTTAGTCAAACAAAAAAAAACAAATATATTCAATCTTAGAAAAAATTCAAACAAGATCCTTACACTTACAAAAACTGAGAACAGATATACTAAAATTTATTAGTTTTAAGGTAAAAATATTAATAACTAAATATAACTTAAATAACAGTAATAATATACATCTTTGGGGTCCCCAGATGAAATATTCTTGGGAAAATCTTAATACAGAGGTCTGAAACACATCATCCATATTTTAATATTGCAATGTTAAAATGTGTCCTCCCATAAGAAGCCAACCAGCTCGGCACACAGCAGTTATGATCTTTAAGGACATCCAAAGATTATGTGTGCTTTCATAAAGGGCTAAAAGGATCTCCAGTGCACTGCTTAGGAAACCTGACTATGTGCTTATTCTCTTTATACCTGTCTTTATAACAAACTGAGGGAAATATGTTTCTCTATATCCCAACTAAGATGCAGGAAAGCTGCAATTGGGTCATGGTGGCTGGAAAATTTCATTACAGGAAAATACTAGTAAGTATCAGGTCCTAATGTCTGCTCCATCCCAATGGCCACAGCACTGACCATTCACTCAGTTATTCCCCATAAAGGTTCAGATATGGACAAACCATGTCCACAGCAACTCCCAAATAATCAGCCAGTTCTAACTACTTAGATTACTAAAATCCCACCTTGGAGACTTTGCAATACAGAATGTTGTAACTAACCACCATAACACTGAAACTTATATAAGTCAATAAGCAGCCTATATGCCACTAACAGATGAATGGATAAGCAAAATGTGGGTATTCACACGCCATGGAGTACTATGCCACAGAGGATAAACCCGAGTTATGTTTATGAAAATGGATGCACCTTGAGACCATAATGGTCAGTGAAATAAGTCACACACACAAGGCTAAACATTGTATGATTTTACTCATGTGAAAAACCAAAAAAATATATAAAAAGCAAAAGAAATGATAAGAAATAATGAGACAGATCTTTCACAAATGGAAAAAAATCAAGAAATGAAGGGTGGGAGTGGGAAGGGAAGGAAGAATGGGGGGGTGATATGTAATGTGCAGATATCAAGTCCCTACTAGAAATGTGATCATTATGTACCACAAATACATATGCTTTTAATTGAACTATAGTTAATGAAAGAAATAAAAACCCATATTTCTGATTCCCTGACTCAGAACTTTCAATTCTAATATTCCAATTATTTCTTACCTTCACCAATAAATTTACAGGTTCTTCAATGCTGCATCAGTAGGCAAGTGGCCTATCTCAAAAATGTATAGTCCACACCACTACAGTCCAAAATTCCTTTTACACAATGAATGCTTGCTTTTATCAAATTTGTAATTAGAAACTCCATCAGCCTTAAGGGTGATGGAAAAACCTGCTAACAAAAGTAATTTCTGTGAAATTAAACTTTAACAAAGTATTTAATAGAAAAACAAAAGTAGCTCTTGAAGACTATATTTTAGTTATCAGATGCTCATTAAAAAGAAAAATATGCTGGGTGTAGTGGTGCATGCCTGTGATCCCAACACATGGGAGGCTGAGGCAGGAGGCTCCTTACTAGCAAGTTCAAAGCCAACCTGAACTACACAGGGAGACTGTCCTAAAAAAAAAAAAAATTACACCAACTTACCAATAACTGATGCTCCTCTTTCTGCAAAAGCCAGAGCATAAGCTCGGCCCAATCCTAAAAAAAAAAAAAAAAAAAAAGTCAAAGGAAATGTCAGCATCATTATTTTTGCTCACTCAAATCACCATTTCAAAATAATAAGTGAGAGGCCATGGAGATAGCTCAGCGGTCTAAGCGCCTGCCTAGGCAAGCGCAAGGACCAAGGTTTGATCCCCAATACCACATGCCTCCCCCGCCCCCCTGCACCTGGTGCACTGAGCTGGCCACCAAGACTAGGAATAGTGGCGCACATCTGTAATCCCAGTGCTGGGGAGGCTGCAGCAGGAGGACACTATAAGCTCAAGCTGCAGAGTCAGACCCCATACCAAATACATTAACAATGATAATAATAGGTGACCACATTACTTACAGTTCAATAGTAATCTTTGTTAATGTTCCCATTCTACTTCATCTCTTCTGCTTTCAGAAGTTAGAAAGTTTAAAGCTACATTTTTCCACCTATTCTACCAATTGTTTCCTACCCTTCTACTTATTAGAATGCCAGATGTGAACAGCTTTCAACTATTAGGGTTCCACAAAAATTAGTGGAAATAAGGCAAAAACTATCTTACTATTATTCCAATTATTACTGCTGGCAAAAAACGGGTTTTCCTGAAACTTCACAGGTATTAAAAACAGCAGCAGTAATTTACTGATCCAGTTTCTTAAACCTGAAACAGCAGCTTTCATACCTCTGCCCTGAACCTTGATATACAATTACCAAGAACAAAAAAAATTAATTTATTCAAAACTATTAAGTGTAAAAATATATACCCAGAAAGGTGCATGCACACATATACATAGCATATATATATATATATATAGCTACAATTTAGACTATCTCAAGAAATATACATGACACCTGCAAGGAGTAGTTACCTTTACAGAAAAGAATCATTTATCTAGCAATCAGGATAAAAGACTTAGTATTGTATTGTTTTAAAATGTGGGGCTAGGGATATAACTCAGTGGCACAAGCACCCACTTGCCAAGTGCAAGGTCCTGAGTTCAATTTCCAGTACCAAAAAAGGGTACATTTTTTAAAATTTAATTGATAAATTTCACTGAAAAATTTTGTTTCTATTGATAATTTCAATCAATTGATGAATAAACAAATAACAAAGACAGAATAACAAATTCAAGTCCCATTTGGGCAGTTGAGCAAGACCCTGACACAAAAAAGTAAGAGGCTGCAGATACAGCTCAGAGGTATTGCCTACCATCTACAGGCCCTGGGTTTAATCCCCAGCACCTGAGAAAAAAATAATAAAAGAAATTATGATTGGAGGAGCCGGGGAGATGGCTCAGTGGAATAAGCGCTTCTCTAGCAAGCGCAAGGGCCTAAGTTCTATTCCCGGTGCCGCAAAAGAAAAAAAAAGAAATTATGATTGGAATAATTATTAGGATAACTACACTTTCCAAAAAAAAATACAAAATATAAGTTTTCCAAAACTAGAAGACATCACCAAATAATTTATTTTAGTATTTCATCCACTATGAATAGTCCAAACAGAATTCAGCACATTTACGAACAGGTGCTAAGGTCATAGCCTACAATTCATTAACTTTTCATCACGTCAGTTTGGTGGACTGCATCAGGATTTATTAATGAGAGAAAATTTCAGAGTGCACTGAATTTACTTTGCATTGGATCATGAACTTATTCTGAATACAGATCAAGTATGTATGTGCATCTTGATATGAAACATAACTGTCAGTCATGTCAAAAGAAGTTAAAATACTGAGTACATCACACCGTTTCCTCAAAAGCAAAATGTAAAATGCTTTCTCAAAACCATCATTAGGATAAATATATCTATGAGTATAAAATACTTAGCCACCAATTAATAGCGAAATGATTTTCTAGAAGGCAGCCTAAGGACTCATTTTACCAGTAGAGTTGTAAAAGTATTCATGAGCCAGCTGACAGAATTCCACAGTTGGTGGCTTTTAAGATACTCAAATTCGTGCACTGAGGCCTTCTTAGGTACAGTGTATACAGTTAGGACGCCTGCACCTGGATGTTACAAAGGTCACTCCCTATTGGGAAAGTAGTGTAAAAATCTCACTGCCAGCAGTGATAGCTAGGTGGAGATGAATGGTTTAACGATCAGTCCTTTAAAGTGGGATTACCTGACATAACAAATCTCCATTTGGTTCTCTTAAAATATGGGAGATCTGGCAACTTTCTCGCTGGCTGGCCCACTTCAGAAATGTCTCTGCTCTCCAGTTTTTTGCTTTCCCAACTCGTGCCATTTATTCCTCTATCATTTACCCCGACGTATGTCATCTACCCCTGATATATCCACCCCCTCGGCCCTGCAGGTGTCTGGCTTTATCCTCCGCCAAAACACCTGTAGACTCTGAGATCCGTGCATGGTTTTCCAGGCGCATACAGACTTCACGGGGGTGTGGGGGGGAGGCTAAGGTCGGACACGCGCCCTCTTAAAGTCCCTCTCACTAACGTAAAGAAGTCCGTGTGGCGGGGGAAAGGAACAGGGCTGAAGGGCACCTGGCTCCTCCGTGAATCGCGGGCTCGCGAGCTTTGCAGGCCTGAAGGAGCTCCGGCGGAGGCTCACTGTCCAGGGAGGAGGGGACAGCTGGTGCCCGCAGAGCCAAGCGAACTTCTACCCCGTTCTGCACGCCGCGCCCGGGCGCAGGACCTCGGGCGGCTCGCAGGCCCTGGGGCGCGCAGCCCCTGCCCAGACCTCGGCGCCTCCGGCTACGTTGGTGCTGACGACCCAGCGCCTCCTCAGGGGCCCCCGCTAGCACCGCCGCCACCTACGCCTGACCCGGGCCGAGCCGCCGCGGGGAACCTGGCCAAGCCGGCCACCCGCCCGCCTGCAGCCCCAGGGCTCACCTCCCCCTGCGCCGGTGACAAGCACCACGCGCCCGTCGAACCTCAGTGGTGAGCCCATGACTCCCCGTCCGGTCACTCGCTCACAGTCGCCTACACTACAGAGTGGAGAAGCGGACTGCACGCACTGGCGAAAGCCCCGCGGGCTGCCGGGAAGAAAACGACGCCCTGTTTCCAAGTGCGCCTGCGCATGACGCTCGGAACCCTGGGAAACGTAGTCTAGTGTCTATATGTGCTCGATGGAAGCCGCCAGCGAGGCACCTCCAAGGGGCTTCGTGGTGCTGCGGAACTCGGAGCTATGCAGCACGTGGTTAACTGGGCACCTACTCCTTTAGTTTTCTCATTTACTCAACAGGTTTTCCAGGTGTGGCTGTAGGCATAGCAAAGCAGCACACCCCAATCCTTGAGGAATTTTTGGATACAGCCGCTCAGAGGGAAAGTTGTCTGCAGTAATCCTCAAGACTCCAGAATATAATCCTTGTAGCTCCTGCATGAAAAGCATCCGGGAACTATCAAAATGCAGAATCCTACAATAGATTCCCACCACTAACCTCCTGGAATAGAATCACAGGGAATAACAACAAAAAAAAGTTATATCAGGTATTCCTCAAAGAGCTTTTGAGAACAGTCATAAGTATCATTCACTCAACATTTACTGAGCATCTTCTAGACTTTAGACACCAAGTTTACAGATCATTGATAAGGTCTTTGCAGCTACTCTAAGTCAGATGGTAAATTTTCCATCACAGTGCACCCTGTAAAGACTTTGTATACAAAAGTTACATTACTTGTTATATAGGTCTTGCTTTGTCTTGGTCTTAACCATCCAGCAAAGAAGGGTGGGAATGGAATATAGAGGGTAAAGCCATATTAATATGCTGAGCTGGAAAAGGCTCAAGTCAACAACTTTTTTTTTTTTTTTTTTGGTGGAACAGGGGATTGAACTCAGGCCCCTGTCACTTGCCAGGCAAGCGTTTATTCCATTGAGCCAACCCCCCCACCAGCCAAGTCAACAACTTCTGTCATCGCCAGACTTAGGGAAAACCCACTACTATTATGGACTACTGGACTATATTGGAATATTTTGCTGAATTCAGGCACCTACAATATTTAAATGACCAAGGAATACCCTTCTCTGACAAAACTAAACAAAAAAGGGGGATACAAATGAACAACCATTTTGTATCTGTATGTTCAAAATAGTTAAGATAGATACACAGCTGCATTCTCTTAGATCACTGAATAAAGAGATTTGTTCTAATAGTGTTTGTGGACAGGATATGTCTGCATCTTGTACAATGAATACCCACTAAGACAACAATATGCAATGTATTAATTAGTGAAACTGTGCTAGTAATTGGTTCTGAAATTGTCTCATTGCTATTTGTTTCTCAATAAAATTACTTTAAAAATGACTTTGTGACACAGGAATATAAGCACTATGCAATATACTAAAAACACAGAAAAAAAGGAAGGGAATTAAGACATGGGGGAGAGAAGAAAGGAAAAGTGGATGAAAAAAGGAATTAAGGTGTATTATGTATCCTCTCCACAAGAAGTGTAAACATTATGTATTACAGACATGTACTAACAAAGGATTTTGTGACAAATGTGGATTAGATTAGGCAAGAACGTACAAAAAACTTGGAGAAAATTATGATGGGCAAAAATAGAATAAATTTTTAAAATGTATTTGGAAGTTAAGGGTTTTTTTTGTAATTAACTGGATGTGGATGTGAAAGAGGAGCAAGCGAAAACTACCATATTTCTGGTTTGAAAAGGTAGGTGATTGTGGGTGTGGTGGCACATGCCTATAATCCCAGCCCTGGGGAGACTCAGACAGGAGGATCTCTACAAGTCTGAGCTGTGTAATGATACCCTGTGCCAAATAAATAATTTTGTAAGCTAGGTTATGGTGGGCTAGTCAACAAAATAAGAAACAAAAGAAAGAGCAACTTTTACAGGGGAATGTGGTTTCAATTTCAGACTAACCATGTTTGAGAAAAGGATGTAAAATTTATGGCTAGGGAGGCCAGACAGCAATGTTCTGAGCTCTAGAAGTATGGTTTTTATGCTCCAGGAACAGGACAGCAGTCTCTGTAACCAGGCCAAAATCTCCTAATCACACCTCCTTTCACTGACAGCTGTACTTTCAACAAGAACTTTGCTCTCTTCCCCATTTGTGTACATCTGCCTTTGACCCTTGCATTCTGGCATTGCTGAAGTCCAGGGAGGCAATCTCAGAGGGCCCTGAAGTCCAAGATTAAGGGTTAGGGGTGTGGTTCTGTGGTAAAGCACTTATCTGGCATCATGAGACCCTGGGTCAATCCCCAGCACCATGAAAGAAAAAAATAGAAAAAAAGCCAAGAGAGAGAAGAGAAGGGAAGGAGGAAGGAAGGAAAAAAAGATGGAAGGAACAAAGGAAGGAAGGAAGGAGCATGAGAGGAAAAAAGAAAGGCCAAGAAATCAAATGCCCTTAAGAATTTCCCAAACAGAGCCAGTTTCAATTACCCTTGGGCTTTAATCCTTACACACAAGAACTAACCTGAAATAACCTTATATTAATTAACTAATCAGCAATTTTCCTATTGTACTGTCTTCCTATTCCTGCTTACAGGGAAAGTAATTTTGTATGAACAATCCACTTGTCCTTTTGTTTCTGTTTTCTTTAAGAAAAGCAGAAAAACCAACCTCCTTTGCTTGAACCATCACAGCACTTTTTTTTTTTTTTTTGGTCCAAATGCCTTCAGGGCAGGTTTGACTGGCTTGAGTTGTGGGGATCCAACCATAGCAACCTAAGCCTGACTGCTTTGTTGAAGCAGCCACTTAAAGAACTGAGCTAAGGGGCAGGCCCCCCACAGCACTTTATTTTATGGACCAAAGTGTTACACAACTGTAGAATAAAAACAAACCCAAAAATAAGATGATTAAGAAGGAATAAAAGGAAATGTCAGGGAGGATATTTTGCAAAATGTTTAGAAATGAAGATCCTTCTGACTAATAAAAGATGAATGTGTCTTTAAAAATCAGCTTCCTTTGCTTGGACCATCAGAATAATTTATTTTATTTATTTTATTTTTGTCTTTTTGAGACAGTGTCTTGCTATGCAGCTCAGGCTGGCCTTCAGCTCACTTTGAAGCCAGGCTGGTCTTGAAATTGCAGCAATCCTCCTGTCTCAGACTCCCAAGTGCTGGGATTATAGGCATGTACCACGATGCCCAGCCTGAGCATACTTTATGGACTGAAGTTTTACCTAATTTTAGAATTAAAAGCCAACTCAATTAAGATGGTTAAGAGGGAGGTAAACTATACCAGCACCTCCAACCAATGGGGCAAGAGGCCTAAAAGTGATAACCCATTCCACCTTTCATTCACAGGAACAAAACTTCAAAGTCAGGACTGAGAGAATGATCAGCCAGGCCCCAGATCTCCACGGCACCCTTTCCATTAAAAGGCCAATCAGATCCATTTCTGCAGGTCTATTACCCTTTCCATTCCTACTGTCCTATCCTACTCTTCTTTGTTAGGGCACTGGCTTGATCCTTGTCAGAACTGTGTCTCCTTTCTCTCTTACCTTCCAACTAAAGCTCTTTCCTCTAAATTTGTACTGAATGCATTAGTTTTAATTCCATGATCACTGAAGCAAGCCCCAGGCTACTTTCTAAAAACCCTATTATCCACTCTCCTAATCTTTCTCGGCCCCTTTCCCAGTAACAATTGTTCATCTTCCCTACTGACCAGACCTCCTTCTAAGTGTGTTCCCTTTGCCTCACTCCTATCTATGTGTATCTTCCTTCCAAGAGGTTGCTAATGTCAGAGAGACAGTGGCTTTATAGCTTAGCTCTAATGATAAGAGAGCATGGAGGGATGTTTTAATGAACCACATTCTTTTTCTTTGTTGCTGCTCAGTTTCTTATTGTTGGAAAATTTCCTACCTGTGTTCTAATCCCTGAGTCTGAATATACCAAATACTCATAATCCCAGCAACTCTTATGGTTAGGCATCGGTTGTGATCTAAATTTGTCAACAGATACTTCCCCCTAAGCAAATGACAGTTGATGGAGTGAGTGACAAACTATGCTGCTGGGAGCTACTAAAGTTAGAAATTGATCATATGTGGGAGAACAGAACAAGGCCAGAATGCCTAAAGCCATCAAGCTACCTCAGTCTTGAGAAAATACCTGGTCAATTTTGGCTATTAGTCACCTTGTGTCTCCTGATACTAACTTTGCAAAGGTATAAATAAATGCCTCTACTGTTGTTCTTGGGGTCTTTTGCCAAGCAGTCAATGGGCCACCACCTGACCCAGCTCTTGTCTTCTTGCTTATCTTTTCCTCATTCCTGATACCTTTTCTCTTTGGGGTATACTGAGAGACCAATGGAGCACTACACTGTGCAGAATCTTTTCTGATGATAAAGTAGTAGAAGCAATGACAGCACTGGTCCTAAGGAGATGGGCAAAATTCAAGGGATCATTTGAACCCTGAGAGGCAGCACTTAGCATCCTTTTGCAAGTATGTCTAGTCAAGGTGTCTTCGTGAGCCTTGCTATATGGCATGATTTGGGCTGTTCCAGGATATAGTCCCAGAGCCTCATTCTCTGTCTCCCTTGAGAGTACACTACCCTTTGTCTGCTTAAAAAAGTCTTTCATACTTAATTCAACCAGAGCCAGTTTTTCTTGCTTATAAATATGAACCCAGTGCCTAACACCTTCTCCATTCCTATATTTCCAGGGTCTCAGGAGGACGCCCATCCACAGGCAATGATACCCTTTTCCATGAACAGCTTTTATCTGGGCACAAAGGAACCTTGCCTGATTGTCTTTTACCAAAAATTATGTCTAATATAAAAGAGGTTACCTTTGATACATGAAAAAATACCAATAGTTAACATAAAACAAGGCAGGATGATTCCTATTCAGACACAAATATATATCATCTCTCATATTTTTGCTTATCTTTTGATAAGAAACACCAACTGCCCTGTTGTCCCAGACTATCTTTCAAGAATGTTCATTTATTAATCATAGGAAAGTATAGATAGCACTTCTCTGTGGAACAAAGATCAGACTTGTTTACTATCCCGTAAAAATATTGAATCCTTGATTTACAAATATTTGAATTGCAAACTTTCACAAGTATGAGCA